TAAAAAACGCAAAAGCTATTGATACCGGTATATATTATAGTAAATTATTTAGCTCTTTATATACATTTTAGCCGCTATTAAGAGCCGCTGGAGAGGGTCCAAAGAGCCATATGTGGCTCCGGAGCCGCAGGTTGCAGACCCCTGACCTAACTGAATATGTTAAGAACGGCTCCAAATGACACAAAACTCATATGGGTGAGTAGAACATGATGTAATAACGTAAAATCAAGGGCCCAATGTAAAAAAAAACGTTGTTCCCCTTTAATGTTTAGCAGTGTCTCTTTACTAGACAAAGCCACAGACTGAGTTGTAGCTGCAAATAACTCTGGGTACTTTTCTTTTTCCCATTTAGTAGGAAATACCCTGGGATTTTATCATAATATACACTTTTTAGAAAACATTAATGTTATTACCATAAATCTAAAATTGTTTAAGAAATTTGTTTAGGAACATTTTTACAGAGGATTTTATCCATTATATATTTATTTTTTTCATGAGTCATGATTTGTCAACTGCTGAAAAGCTCTACAGAGACATGAAAATGAGGCCTTAATGAAGGATGTGCAATAAAGAGATGGCTGTTATTAGTATAGATCTACATGAAGACCAATGAAAAAGCAGTGTAATTAAAGAGTGATGTTTTTCTTTCTAATTAACTGATATTTTATTATTTTAGTTTAATATGGTTTTTAGTTTAACATGACTAAAAATATAAATAGAACATGACTTGAACGTTTTTACCAAATCTAACAAAAATATGTTCTCTATACGATAGTGGTGTCGGGTGTAAGAGTTGGCCCTGAAATGGAAGGGTTGTTGGTTCGAGCCCCAGCTCTGCCTTTCAGTTTCGCTGTGTCCTTGGGCAAGACACTTTCCCCCCCCGATGGTGGACTGATGGCGCCAGTGTGAGGCAGCCTTGCTTCTGTCAGTGAGCCCCAGGACAGCTGTGGCTAGAATGTAGCTTGCCACCATCAGTTAATGGATGAATGACTGACTGTAGTGTAAAGCGCTTTGGTAAAGTCTTCTGATTTGAAAAAGCACTATATAAGTACAGGCCATTTAAGATGGAATAATGAGCTATTTCTGTTCTATTTCACATTGTTTCTATGAAGGAAGCCTGAAAATGTCCTTGGTCCTAATAAAGTGATCAAATTCAATGTCTGCTGTATTAGATGGCTTGTTTTCTTCGGGTATTTGCGGGTCACACTTATCGATGCTTAGTTGGCAAAGTTTGCACACATCTACTTGTTTTGATTCTCAGTATGTCATGGAAACTTGTTTGTACACTCTTGAACCCAACAATACACAACCAGCAATTCATTTATGAGGAAAACTTTATCTGAAAGCAGCGACCGGGCTCTTTATATTATCACAATGGTGCCGTTGTGCTGCAGTGGACCAGACATGACATCACGTGTGGCAGCTTTCAACTCTATCTTCAGTTTCTACACTACATGTATTTAAAAAAAAAAGTATACACATTACTAAATGTAAATTTCCAGTTTTTAATAATTTAGAAACATCCAATCTCGAGGTATTGATACAACACTTGACCAGGTTTTTTATGGCAGATATTTCTACAGTGGTGAGGCTTTAAGTAAAACCCAAAGACTCTAAGGATTTGGAGAAAAATAAAAAAATGTATTTTTGTCTGTACTTTGTGAGACCAAGAAACTACTTTTAATCAAATAAAGCTCGGTTTAGTAGTGTTTCTTTCTTTAATAAACCCACTGAATGCGTTATTTGCTCCATAACTTTATAAGCATGCTTGCTGTTCTTTTCTATAGAAAGTATGCCTGCCATGTGTTCATGTTTAACTGTGTCTCCTATAAAAAGGTAGTCTGAATGTTTTTCCTTCTAACAGAAAGTGGTCCAAGTACTTTCAGGATCTGTTTAGCAGTTTTTCTTTCCACAACAAAGTCACTGATGGAATTATTGCATCTACGAACTATGTGTAATTGATCTTGTATGTTTAACCGTGTCTCTTTTCTTGTTAATGTAATTATTGCAGCTGTAAAGCAAAAGTTATCTCTTTGTTTTGTAAATAAAATACTACCAAACCCTGCTTTTGTGTTCAGGCTTTCCCTGACAAACATTACTAGAGCTACTGTGTCCTCTTTGTTTCTATGGAAAGTACAACTGTCTCAGTACTTCTGCGTATTTCCTGGACCGAGCCATTGTTGGAGCTATTCCTGTTATTCTTTGTTCTTCTGTCCCTCAGAGATTAACCATTTGTGGAATTTATAGGGTTCTGTGCTCTCACTTGTCTATATTTTCTTAACTCGTAATATTTAGAAAACCCTTTGTCTCACAGTTTATTCTGGTTGCTTCATACTGGCTTTTTAGGGGCTTTAATGTATGTTTTTAATTTTATAATTTTTTTAAACTACAATGAAATTGTGACAGAGGAAACAATAAGTCCCAAATTAAAAAAACACATCAAGATTTAAGCAAAGTATTTATAACTGCAAACCACACAAATTTTTGCCTTTGAGCTTTAAAGTTTACCAATGCCGTGCTTTTCCATCAGAGATATGAGGTCGGCTTCTGTGAGCAGCTGAGGCGGACTCGTCTGTCCGTCCACCATCTCAATAGCAGAGGGCTGGAACTGGGAGCCCTGCTCATACACTGGTATCAACTAAAAACACACATTTTCCAGATTCAGCCAAATGCAAGAGGAAGTTACTAATAATGAATCATCAGGATTTTCAACACTAAAAACCTGAATAGTTATAACATCATCAAAGGTAATACGTACCTTTGTACTCCACCGCTCGTACGGATAAACATCCAGGTAATTCCTTGCAATAATCATCAGTCCAGATGCGGAGAACTTTTCTTGAGCAATTTCTATGTCCACCACTGTTTCCTGTCCCAAAGCATCCTGGGATACGCAAGCCAGGAAGTGCCTGACTATGAACTCATAGACGCGTCCTTCGTTACCCTGAAAAAAGGACACAATCAAGATTTCTACACATATTAGAATAGAAAGAAATCTCCCTTTTTTTCCCTTTCTGGACATCGGAGTGCTAAACATTTACCTAGATGAGAACATTTGATTTAACAAAGATCTATGCTATCTGAACCTTCATTAATTCCACATTCCATTTATATAAAAAGTTATTAATTTAGTACTTTTAATTAATTTAGTCTGCTTTGAAAATCTGATTATTATTTGTTTTTTATTTATCCTCTGGTTTAGATGAAAAATAAAAGGTATAGCTTAGATTAGCAGTGTCGATAAATTCGTAACGAGAACCATCAATGGCTTAGATTGTGTGAATAACTTTTCAGCAATCCCTTATATTGAACATAACAGCTTGTTATACTTTTCATTTGTAAATGAAGAGCATATAAGCATGAAAGAATACTAGTGTTTTTAATTACTTAAAAACAACCTACACTATTATTTAAAGGCACACCGCAGACTTTGTAACCTAAAGAGTTGATGCATATGAGTTATTTTAAATGATTCCTCAGGCCAATATACAGTGTTTGACACCATCACTGCTACAAGCTGGGTTCCCCTCTTGAAATACCGCCTATGTATGCTGGGAGAAGACGCACTGTCATTGGCCAGGTCATGTGACCTGGAAGAACATATCGCTTTACGGTCACAGGCTCCTATATAGTCATGAAGCAAAGGCTTTTGCTCTACTGTTTTTCTGCCTGCTGGACTACTGGTCATGGCTGAGGCAAGCAAAAACTTTAAACCTCCTGAGGAGGCTTTGCTCCTATTATACAGTCATATATCTGTTATTATTTTCGATGGATAGTAGAAGCAAAATCAGGCAGAGAAAGCTAGCAGGCTACTAACAACAGCTAACTGAGACGCCCAAGCTCAGTCGCTGGTCCTCCGCATAGCGTGGACCGGCCTGTCCTGGCAGTGCTCTCTAAAGAACAGCAGTGTTTCTTATGCCCTCTGAGCTGAACCTAGAAGCCTAAAGTGGTCCCCAAATAAAAGACATGGCAAGCTGAGTGTTTTTGGCCTTTTGCGACAGTGCTGCGGCGCTTGTGGCTGCAAGGATAGCTAGACGTGAAAGCTACACTTCTTGTGCCCCTAGTGGCCAAAAGTTACACAATGTGCCTTTAAGAAGCACTGACTGGATTACTACTATCACTTTTTTAGTTCAAACAACAAAAGAAAGAAGGAAAACAAAGCATTTGTGATGAAACCCACCTGCAGCGTGTTGGTGTACTTGGTGGGGTGTATTGGGGGGTGGGCCTGGTCAGAGTTCTTCCCCTGCCGTGGGTTAGGGCCCCCAGGCTGCTCCAGCACCCGTTGGGCGAAGGTCCCCCACTCTGGACTCTGTGCCTGCTGCTCCACCAGGGGGGTGAGGGGAAGATTGGCAGGAAATATGTTTGTTTCTGTGCGAGGGTAGCTGATGAACCTAAGCAGGAAAACAAATGCAGTGTCAAGTCTTATTTACACAGAGACATGATGCTCTGCAAAACACCAGATGGTCTCTGCACGTCCATCAAGCAGGTGAGGAAAACACAGATATCTGACTCTGTGTGGACTGAGTCAGAGAGACGTAAATTCAAATCAAAGAGTTAGAGGCTAAGACAACAGTCTCCTCTCTAAGAGGCAGCACAGAAACGTCTCACCCACCCTTGGGTATAAAGCTTTTCAGCAATCTTCATAGTTTCTTTGGCATTTATTCTCAGCTTCCTAGACGCCAGTTTCTCCAGTTCCTGCCGGTCAAATAAAAAGAGAACATTTTGCAATAAAAGGTAAACTTTTTTTTTTTCACCCACTGCATTAAATGCATTTTGCACCATGAGCAAATGAGTGTTTATACAGCAGCTTCTATCACACATTTCTCACCACAGTGTCCAAAGGCAGCGGTCTCCATTTGCTCTTGGGTTTGCTTGTTACTGAGGTGACTGTTGCTATGGGATTCTGGAAATAAATGATAATACATTCTGCTTTCACATCTTACTTTTAAAACCATTTCTATTCACACAAATCAACCAACATTGACTGAACCGACCACGGCGTGTTGTCAGCAGCAAGAGCCGGACCCCTTGGATCAGACCC